TTTCATCAACATTGTTGTACTTTACTTGAAAATTAAAGATTTAAGCTCAGTATTCGAGCTATCCAAATCTCTTAAAATTAAAACAATACCATTTTTAAATTGTTGGATGTAAAAATGTTATATGGAGTTCTTTGTTTCGTTGGCTTGAATACTGGGCTGCAATGTTTCGAAAATAAAAATACACATTCCTGATCTCGCAGTAAAGCTTAAATTCAATGGGAGTTTTTTCAGCCAAAGCCTCAATAACTATTGTTCGGCACTGGAAATTCGACAACAATGGGTTTTCGTTTTTAGCCAGCTTGTAGTTTCCATTAAATACCGGGGTATCTTCTAGTCTCGAAACTAGGGAAAATGTAGCAGCTACCAACTTGTTTCCTTTTTGTTTGCTGTTGCCCTGCCTTGCTGTTTTCACCCACAATGCGCTTTGTGTGCACGTGGCGCGCCTTCGAGTGTCCATTGTCCTGCCAGCCACCCACTTTCTCCTCCGCCCACTTTCTCCTCCGCCCACCCAACGCTTTTCTCCGGGGCCAATTGTCAACTGGCCAAGAACAACAAGCGAGTTGGCGAGAAGAATGGGCACGAGAGCAGGAACAACAATCAGTTAAGTTATCCTAAATAAACACATTTTCCAAGCACGCAGCGCCAGCATTTTCCACTTCATCCCTATTTCCCCTCGGAAAAACTGAAAGGAAAATTTGCTTTTGGTCTTTGCACCAAGCAAACTGTTGCGTTGGCCAAGAACGAAGAACCAAGGCTAAGACTTTGTTGTCCAGGTTTCAAATTAAACTCGAAAGAAAAACAAATTAGGCAAACGCCCGGACACAAAGCATTCATCTGGTGTTTACCCAGTGGAAAAACAGGGGAGGGGGGTTCGACTTAAAAGATGTCCTCAGATGGGTACATCATTTCTGGACACTCTAGAAGAAAGCTTTAAGAGAGGACTTACCATTTGACTTATGACATGGCATTTACATGGATTCCCAGACAAATTCCCACTCATTTTCCGCCACTTAAAAGGGTTTCCATTTCTATTTGCCGTCATCAATCATGGCCCTAGTTTTAACCTTGCACTTGGGACAAGGACTTTACTTTAGCCCTCATACGTTAGGGCAATAAATCGATCCATCGATCGGAGCAATCAGAGGGTTTTTAAAGTGGCCAAGGTGGAGAAATGTTAAGTGGCAAGTAGCTTAACGCCAGAATGGGTTTGCAAAGTGTGAGCGATTTTGTGTCATTTGCATATTTCATAAACACACTGGCCCATTGCGCTCTTTTAGCCAAGTTATTGCAGTGCAGTATCAAGTGCAGTTATCTGTCGCATATATAATATGCAGCAGGAGTACAGTGCGTTTCATGAAGGGTGGTGAGCACAGAGTTATACCTAAAAAGGAATATTTAATCTTCGATGTTCAATTTAACTAATTAAAAGGATATCTTCATTTAAAATAGCTTTTTTTGTCAGAAGAGTTACAAATGTATACTTTTCTTATAAAATGTATAGTTAATTATTTATTGATGAGTCATCTATTTACTTGCATCGCACCTTATTGTTTTGAAACGCACTTTTTTATTGCATACTGCTGTCCATATATACGGTCGTATATAGGTCATCATAATGCTTCAAGTTTCGTTGAAACGCTTGGAAAACCTGGCAATGTGCAAAGCGTATGCAAATGAACATATCTGTGGGAGATATGAACGTATGAAACTCATATATAAAACAAACTGAGCTAAATCAAAAAAAAATATATATATATATAAAAAAATTGTGTACACTTGAAACAAAAGTTTTTCGTAGATGTGACCACTTTAAAGCACGTTGAAAAACTTTCACAAAAGATTAAGGTTTTTGCGGTGAAAACTTTAAGAGTCTCGGCTTTGTCTAACTTTCGTGAAAGTTGGCGGCATTATGGGAATTTCATAAATTTCTTAAATTCTTAGAATCTGCATAGTTTATATTGCAAAACCAATTAAGATAATGGCAAAAAGTGAACAAAACTTATTGTTGCATACTTTTAGGTAAGCCGAAAAGTGATTTTGAACCGCCAGACATTTCTCCTTGCAGTGTGCATATGTGCATGGCTGTACATATATGCATATGAGTAAATAGATAAACACCCCTGTCCTAAGACCCCTTCTCCAGCCACGCCCATGTCCCTTTCTCCCATTCTGCGTGCCTATATGCATTATAGATGCAAAAGGCCGACGGCATCGTCTGTGAGGCCCACTGTCCCGTTGCCCACTGTCCCCATGCCCTGTCCATTCATGAGGATAAAGGGGGCGGTAGAACTGATTCAGGGGCGTCGTTGGGCGACTGGAAAGGGGGTGATGTTGCTCTCCGCAGAGCCCATTTCATTTTTAATAGTTTCAGTCGACGGACGTCGGCGGCGGCATTTCATTTGCCGTTTGTTTACTTTGCAAACTGGGTCTCGTCTCGCCCGCACAACCACCCTCTCCCCCCCATTCTTGACCCCCCTTCCGACGCCCCTGTCTTACGTTTTCCACAAATCAAACAGAAAACGCAGCCAAAAAAATACAAAAACGTATGAAACTTGCTTTTCTGTTTTGGTTTTTCCCACATTTTTTGTTTTGTTCTTCAACATTTATTGTTGATTTATGCGCCGCAGCGTTCACTTTAAACCGGTCACGTTTTTGATGAACTTTACCTTTTTGGAAAGCAATTCCTCTGGCTGGTAATAGGGCAGACCAATTAGTTTGCACATGGAAATCCGCAGCTCGGGACCAAATTTTCCAGTTAAATATAAAAGAGCGGGGCGCCAAAGATGAGGAGAACAGGTGAATATACAAAGAGCAAGTACAGTAGAGCTTCGATCAATTTTGGTTGATTTTCGTAGTAAGAAAGTAAAATAGTCCCATTGATAATATTGCTTACATTGTTTTGAATACAATAACAATTTGATCTATACAATTTCAATTAAGTATAACTTTGTAGCAATGAAAATACCTTTTCAATATATTTTATTTCACGTTTTCGAAGTTCTACTGTATGTATATGTGGAAAACTCACTGCGGTTTTGTTTACAGCTCGCTCAAGGCGTTAACCCAAAAATAAAAGAAAAACTTTAAAAGAAACAGTGCTGAAATAAAAAAAAAAATTGCTACGTCTGTCCGTAAACAAAAGTGTGGCGGCAAAGGTGACAAGTAGAGGAAAACCGTAAAAATGAAAAAGATGAAAATTTCAAGAAAAATATCAGGCATCGCTACACCTTTAAAGCGAGTTGATAAGTTCGCCCCGTCATCGTTATGTCAATTGAATGATGTCACACGAGGCGATGTGGCATAAAATAAACAAATGACAGCGCCACACACAGATACACACGCACACAACGAGCACCAGACCACACACAGAAAAGCGCTGCACGGAGACAAGAGATTTTCACAAAGGCTGCTGAGAAAATAGGAACTAAGACATTGACACGTTCACAAAGTCTCAGGAATTAAATCAAGCATGTGGGAAATCCTGCTGTACGAGTACAAACATTTTTGCGCCCTTCTCAGCGCTTCTCATACTGAACAGCTGGGCTACTCAGCAGAAAAACAAAAGTTATGAAAATATAATTCATTCTTAAAGATTTGAGATCCAATATATGTTTTGATATATATATATATAATTTATTGATCAACATTTCCATAAGAAAACGATAACAGTAATTTCAACATAATCTCAACAAAGTCTCAGGAACTAAATCAAGCATGTGGGAAATCCTGCTATACAAACATTTTTGCGCCCTTCTCGGCGCTTCTCATACTGTACAGCTGGGCTACTCAGCGGAAAAACAAAAGTTATTAATATAGAATCCATTCTTTAAGATCTCAGATTCAATATATGTTTTGATTTTAATGTATATATAATTTATTGATCAACATTTCCATAAGAAAACGATAACAGTAAATTCAACATACTCTAAACCAAATTGAAATCCAAAGAGCAAACATAGTATCTTTAAGGACGTGGAAGGATTAAAAAGTGACACATTTGTCGCCTGCCTGCTGCATTGTGCATGTCTGCGTGCGAGTGTGTGCGTTAATCCATTCATATTTTATGTCCGTCGTATGCCATAAAATCAAAATAAAAGCCCAGTCCCCCAGTCCAAATCCAAAGCCAAAGATGGTGCCTTGTAGCCATAGCTAGCTATATAGTCCCTATATCCGTATAGATATAGACCAGACTTCGTTCTTAAGCCAAGCATGCATATACAGCGAGCACATTTATATATAGTCATAGTCATAGTCATAGTCTGGTGGCTGTAAAACAGGATTTGCATAGCATCCCGGCCAGATTTGCATGCAGATGGCGATGGCGGCAGTAAGTTTGACATTGTTGCTCATTGCAACCAACGAGCTGCATCTAATGCAAATGCACAAATGCGATTTATGACAAGCGAGAGGCATCAGCTGAGATATATGGGTGTACGAACGAACCGGGGGGTTCTATCCAGCGAAACTTACATATAGCGCCTTGTTTTTGCCCTCACACTCGAACACGCATAACTCGAATAGACCATCCTATCTAACCCTCCCCACATACACACTACCCCCTTCCCCTGACATGTCATCCATCAATCGGGCTGTCTGTCAGTTGGCCCATTAACGCCCCGGGGACGGGACCCAGAATAACCTGGGCCACGGTCATGTGATATGGCTTAGTTCAACATTTGTCTCCCGCCAGCTTGACTCTCGTGGAAATTCAATGGAAAAATATTTGATTAATTGTCCCGAAATGGGAAATGTTTACCTAGTTCTTGGTTTCGTTTACCAATGGCTTACGCTTCGAAAGGACTGGATTAACACTTGATAAACATTCGGGCGAATTGAGGGCATAGAGAAATACTGTGATTGGGGTTGTCACAAATAGAAAACAAAACAACAACAGGAGTTAGATACATTTTAATTGTTGTATATTTTACAAATTGTTTACAACATATCTCAAATTACTTTGACAGCCAAATTGACAATATTCGATTGGTTTATCTTTACAGGGTCTATATCTTTTCTAGAGCTTGGAAAATGTAAGTATTAGTATTTTCGCTTCTATAATTTCAAAGATTTTCAAAATGTTTTTAAAATTGGTTTTGATGAAAAAAGCTTAAGTGTACTGAGTGAGAAGCGCGGAGAAGGGCGCTTATTTATAAAACATTTTCTAAATTGCTTTTGCTGAGCACTGCTTAGGTGGCGCGGATTAGAAGCGCAGAGAAGGGCGCTGATGAGACAACCTTGAGATAATAATCTCAGCGAGAAGCGCAGTGGACAGGCGATCATCGTCTGCAGTTTTAAAGCAGACTCCACAAAATTTTTTTTTATCCTCTATCTGGCAAAGAATTCGATTTAAATATTTTATTGGTGAGAGTTCGCCTCTCGCTCCCGCCTTCGTTGGGAGTTTTTGTAACCTTATTTTTTCGGGGGTTACCTGCTACATCACTTCGGTGCCCCCCCCCAGAGAGACTTTTGCATTATTCATTAGGGTTGTTGGAGGAGCACTGCGAAATAACATGGCCCTGGCCCGACTAACAACTTCCGGATGGGGAAATCGGAATCGGGAATGGAATGGGGATTGGGAATGGTTGGGCAGCGGAAATTGCAAGCATGGCCAAATAATGACTCACACAGACAATGCTGGGTGGGATGTTCCTTGGAGTGGGGTGGCCAAATCAGCGCACTTGTCAAACATGTTGATGGACACTTGAAAGGCGACGATGACGTCGACGACGACGACGTTGAAGCGGAAAAACGGAATCGGGAATATACAAAAGAAAATGCCACTAGCCAAATTGCTTTTAAAGAAATACGCTTTCCCTGCCATTTTCTTACGGTTTGGTGAAACTTTCTGGACTCTTTGTTAAATGCCCAAAAATAGTTTCTTACAAAGATGCATACAAATGTATGTGAGTCATAAAAGTGCCAGGCGACATGAAATATGTTTAGTGGCCTCCCCCCCCCCCCCCCCCCGGAAAAACATATTCATAATCGCAGAGGAGGCATATCGCGTATACGCCATGTGTGCCATTTTTGTGGAGGTGGAGGACAAGCAGGCAGTCAGCCGTTTTGGCGCCGCCTGCTGTCAACGCAGTCAAGTTCCATTTCCTCTGCCATTTTCAAGTGGAAGGTGGTTCACTCATCCACTCAGTGGGATGGCACACATGCCATTCCCACCATATACCACCATATCAATTCCTGGCCATATCTATATCGGGCGATATATATCGCTGGCAATGCACACAAATGATTTATTTATTTATTTGCTTATTGCCAAATGACAAAATGACGCAGCTGCCACGATATCGTACTCGTACCAGTACCAGTCCCTGGTAATACTAAAATTCCCCTTACCCCTTTCTACATACCCCATACACATGGATATATTTTCCAATTGGGCAAAATGCAGAACTGGCTAAAAAAAAAAGAACAGCACAAAAAACAATGTAAAAGCTGATGCCAAAAGCAACAGCAGTTTTCCCGCCAAACAACTCGATTGAGCGGCGAATAGAACACATGTTTGATGGATTTTCCGGGGGTTTTTCACGGGGGGTTAAATGTGCTCCAATCAGTAAGACCTGCAAGTTGATCACCCTCCTTTCGGTTGAGTAAGTAACAAAGGCAAGATTGTTTCATCAAAATTTTAATATATATATTGGCTATTAACCAATTTTATATAATATTAATAAAAATATAAAGGTGTAATAGGTGGGGAATACTCGATTAACAATTTTCAACCTTAAGAACTGGTTAATAAAACCCCATTTAAACAGATCACCGGCTATTTTCAATCCTTTTGAACTAATGGATTTGCAGTCAGTTGTAATTAAAATGCCATATCTGAGCAATACAGATTTATAGCTTTCGCCCATGCATACATCATTCGCCCAATTGGATCCACATTGGATCCCCCCCCCAGACAATTACGGAATCTCTATTTGACAGACTGAAGAATGAACTCGCTGCCATTGCTCGGCTCGAAGTTCTGAGTTTTGGGAAATTGCCTCATTTCCCAGTGCTTGCCGGGAAAGTTTCCCAGCCATTTTCCTCGTCCTCCCCCCTTTGCGTTTGCCATTAATTACGAACTGAGCCAGAAGCTCGCCGGTTTCGGTAGATCATTAGTCCACTTGCTAATGGGCCACAAAACAAAAGGAAAATTCTCTTTTCTCCCTGTCGATAGCTCTCTTTCCCTCTCACTCTCTCCCTCCGCCATCTATCTCTCTCTCTCTCTGTCTTGTGCACTTAATTATGAAATTATGTCTTTTGTCATTTACTGGCTGTTTCCCGCAAAATGCGTTTCACCAGATTTTCTCTAACAAATTCATTATGGCTCCTATTTTTATGCCGGGTATTTGTTGGGGGAACAAGGGTATATAGAGTTTCTAAGAAGGTATGGGACTGTTGGGCGTTTCCAACCTGATAAGGGGTATATATATTATGTTTCTGCCTCAAGTGTATGTCAAATTAAGTACACTCCTTTTTAGCTAATATAAAGTATACCTATTTATAATCATAAATTAGTTAGATTGAATATGTAGTTATTGTTTGAAATATAGTTTGATATAATCATACCTTTTTTTGTTATTCCTGTTCAGTGAATTGTATAACCTTTCAGATATGGAACATACATTTTTACCAGGTATTTAAGGTACTTGGTTTCCTTTTCCTATCGATTCACTTGCCAAAATCTGTGGCTTTTGTGGAAACACATGTTGCTGACGGAAATTGTTTTGGGGGAGTGTATTTGGGGTCTACACTTCTGGTGGGAATGGGCTTTTCTCTGGGGCCCCGTAGACAAAGTCCTCTGACTTTGGCGCAACAGCTGGTAACTGTAATTTGGCACCGCCAACAGCCACGCCCACACTTGCTACCCGCCCCCTAATTGCTTCCATCGGCCCTCCATTTTTGCGGTGGCGAAAATGCTCCATCTTCAACTGGCAAATGAAATTTACATTTTTGACTTCATTTAACTTGGCAACTCTGGCCGACTGCTGCTGCTGCTGCTACTGTTGCAAGTGTGGCAAATGTATGTGCCTCTTGTGTGGCACGCTGACATATGCCAATTGACTTGCCACTTGGTAATTTAATATGTGTGTGCTTTCAGCTTTCAGCTTTCAGGGCTTCGAAGCCAAAACCGAAATCGTTAATTTTCATCCCAATGTTTTGGCCCCAGGCTGCCAAGGACACCAAAGCCATTGTTCATTCATTCTTGTCACAAAACTGGGCGGTAGATTGCTCAAAAGGGGGCGTGGGGGGGGATAAATCAAAGTGAACATTTCAGTTGGCCAAAAGTGCGGAGGAGAGCGCGGAGGAGCCATTGTCCGATGGCCTTATGCAACTTTAATTGAATTGCACGCTAAGCCGGAGGGCCAGGACATGGACATGGGCAAGGACATGGTCGTGGTCGTGGTCCTGCACTGCGCCAAATTATGGGCAACAAAGTGCGCAATTTTAATAATCCAATTTGAAGAACTCTTCCTCCTGAAAATTATTTTTGTCCTTGATATATCATATTTTATATACAATAGATTCCTTTGGTACCTTGATCAACTAAAATGTTCTATTATAAAAAGGGATTTTTTTTGGGGAAATTTTGGGACATTTTTGGAAAACAAGGTGTTTATTTTTCAACCAAGATCCCGCTGATGTCCAATTATAGTAAGCAATTTTCTGTGTAATTCAATTCATTTATTTATAATTTGATAATAATATATCATACCTTGTTCAACTAAAATTTGTATTATAACAAAGGATTTTTTTTGGGAAACTTTGGGACATTTTTGGAAAACATGGTGTTTACTTTACAACCAAGATCCAACTGATGCCTTACTATAATAAGCAATTTTCTGTGTTATTCAATTCATTTGATTTGGTTTTGTAATTTTATTAAAATTTATCATACCTTGATTAACTAAAATGTTCTTAGATAATATAGGATTTTTTTTTTTTGGATATTTGGGACATTTTTGGAAAAAAAATGTGTTTTTTTTTTAACCAACCCTGATGCCAAATTATAATAAGCAATTTTCTGTATAATTAAATTCTTTTGATTTGGATTTGTAGTTTGAATAAAATGTATCATACTTTGATCAACTGAAATGCTCTTCTATAAAATAATACTTTTTTTTGGAAAATTTTTGGAAAAAAGGTTTTTTTTTCAACCAATATCCCCCTGATGCCTCATTATAATAAACAATTTTCTGTGAATAATTCCATTCTTTTGATTGGGTTTTGTAATTTGATTAAAATTTATCATGGCTTAGATAAATCCCCAGAAAAATTATGGTTTTAAATCTCCTATAATGCTCAATTCTTTGTGACAGTGTCTTTGGTGGCCATGTCCTGCTCGCTCACTTGGCTTATCAATAAATTACATTTTGTCTACGATAAGATTTCACTTAAAGACACACTTGACACTTGTTCAAGCCGCGACTTAAGATTTTCGCCAAGTGTAGTCTAAGGACAAGTTCGATTTGTTGACAGGCTGAGGCGAAGAAATTTTCATTAGATTTATTGATTGCCCATCGTGTTGGGGGGGAAAAGTGTGGGCGAAATGCTAAATTGCCTCAAGTGGTAGAACATTTGGCCGAAAATTAAATTGCCGTGGTGTTTTGTGGGATTTTGAGGTTTTTCCGGCGGGGGGGAAATCCGGTGGATATATACAACAGCAGTTGTTTTTTTTGCGGCTTTTGCCTGGTGTTTTTGCCCACTTTGGTTGACTGTAATTAGCATCCAAATAATGTCGTTATAATGCTGATCCATTAAATATGCATTGCTGGCCATTTTGTGCTGCATTGGCCAGCGAATTGCACATTAGATGCCAATTAAGTTCTGATTTATTGACAAAACCGGTTGAAGTTTGTGGGGGAGCGGGCGAAAAAGAGGGCCGAGGAGGGTATTCAACAGTTTTGTCAACAGTTGTGCGGTCAATGCGGCGTATGCGTGATATTCAATCGACTAATTATTGATTTTGGCAAAGTGTTTTGCTACTTTCCTGCCTTTCACTGCTCATAAACTGCCGAAATGGTCACCATTT